AGTGTGTGCACGTGTGTGGTGTCAAGAAGTGGGTGTGTATATGTGTAATGTGCTGAGGACTTCTTCAAGTCAAAGAGTTGAGTTTATTCATTTGTTTTGTGCTGGAATCATGAGAGAGAGAGAGAGAGAGAGATCCAATTTTGAGAAGAAGAACAAGAAGACTCAAGGGGAAATGAAATACAATTTATGAAATTAGAGCTTGAGGTATAGAAATTATGCTTAATTTATTTAGAATTTTTGTATTACACTGGAAATTAAGATGAGTTTGGAATCAACATCATGTAGTTGAAAGAAATTAAGAAGAAAATTCAGAAAATTGAGTTAGGTTCATGGTTATGAAAATAAATTTGAAAATTAATTATTTTGGGTTTGATTTTTGTAGTCTTGCATGAAATTTTATTGTTACATGCACGAGTAAATTCTGTAAGTTTTAAGTTTCAATTACACATCCATCATGGATTTTCAAAAGTTTTGAAAATTTGATTTCATGTTTTGAAGAACTTGACTTATAATTATAAGTTATGAAAGATTATGTTGGGTTCATCATTTTATTTTGGATTCTAAAGTCTAAGTTGCATGAAAATTTATGTATTGCATTTTATTTCAGAAAAATTTTCACATGTTTAATTTCATATTTTGGTCTTCAAAGAAAAAGAAGTCGAAATTTTTTTACATGCATGAAGATTTGATTTAAGTTTTGCTGAATTGATGAGGTTTTGAGCAAATAATTTATAAATAAAGTTGTATTTATGTTTTCTGAAGTATTTTCATGATTTTAATCAAGATATGCATGGTTTCAAGTTTTGAAATTGTGTTTGGGTGCTATTTTTATAAAATTTGGAGTTCTAAAAATCTGTATACCGCTTAAGCGGTTTAGTCACTACTCGAGCACACAATGAAGACATCAATAAATTTTTTTGCAAATTGAAAATACAATGACCTTGCATTCACTGCTCAAGCGGTAAAAGGATCGCTTGAACGATCAACCAATTTTCAACATGTTCTTTTGTTCACATTTTCATTCCCTTTTTTTTCTGAGCATTCTTAGATATGAATTAAGTCTCATTAAGGAAATTATAAGTTAAGAACCAACATAAGTTAATTGGTTAAAGAAGCAAAGTAAGAATTTGGTTTATTTGAGAAGAAAGGATAAGAGAAGTAAGATTCAATCAAGTGAATAATGTTATGTTTCAATGTGTATGTCTTTGTGTGTATTATGTAGGTTGATCCGCCGTGTTTTTCTAACCAAGGGCTGTGATTGATGTCTTCGTAAAGATATTTTTGTATAAATGATTTTGAAATGGCTATGCTATACGATGTTTAATGAAATCTATATTTTGTTTACGAAATGTTCCGATATGATGAATTTTCTAAATAATTCTTTTGAAATGTTAAGATATGCTAAGAATGAATCAGATTCCTTTTTGATCAACTAATGTGACATCTACAAAAATACGCTTTGGTTTTCAGAAACCTCCGTTAGGTATATATTCCCCAATTGTTGTGACAACCACTAACAAATTCTTCATGATGATACATAAGCTGGACCATAGGTCTTTCTGCCATATCTACTATCTGTTATATCTACCATGTCTGTCTGCTACGTCTTTTATCTGTTATATCTGCAATATCTATTATATATTGGACCAAAGGTCAACTCATTGTTTTTGATACAGCTATTATCTATATATATTGGACCAAAAGTCGTTCTGTCATGTATTGGATTAGAGGTCGTTCTATCAAGCTCTGTTCTGTTCTGTTTGTTTTGCTTTGTCCGTTCTGTGTAGTCTGCTCTATTAAATGATATTGGAAAATACCCCATCATCTAACAATCTCTTAAAGCTCTGTTAAGTTTCTGAACAATATACCTCTGAATAACATTACGTTTAGCTTTGAAAGGTGTAATAAGCTTTGTATAAGATATATTTCTGAAAAATATTTTAATCATGTTAAGTGTTTTTATAAATATAGAACTTATTCATTAACCCTTTACATTGATGTTACTCATTAGGCTTCTAACTCACCATCTTCTCTTATATATATAGATAAGCATCTGGAAGTTCAGCATTAGAGTTTGCCTTGGAGTTAACCGTTTTGCCAAGTCACGCGAAGAAGTGCTTCTATCTTGAGGCCTAAGCCTTGGCTTTTGGTTAAGCTTAGTTTTGTAAAGTTTTATTAAATCATATGTATGATCTTAGGATGTATGGTTAAGCTTAGCTTTGTCAACTTTTATTAAATCATGTGTATGATCTCGAGATGTATAAGATAACTGTATGTATAAATTATATGTATGTGATGAAATATTTTGTGTATCACAACTCAATGGACAAAGTTATTTCTATATAGTTTCTGTCACAGGCCACAGTACTTAATAAATATTTTTGTATTTTGATTAAGAGGCTGTAAGTAATTTATTATTACTGAACAAAGTTATTTCTATATAGCTTCAGTCACAGGTCCTAATACTTAATAAATATTTTGGCCATGTTTGTTTGAGTGGACATGAGCTTGGGATTGGACTAATAGTCCAATAAAATTATTAATCTGATGTTTGGTTAAACAATTGAAGTACGGACTAATTATTTTAAACTTAACTATTAGTTAAGATATGATACATAATTCAACGAATTTGTAGTCTTAGGACTATCAGTCATGGGAATGCTAATCCAGTCCACCCAAACAAACATGACTTTTGTATTTTGATTAAGAAATCATAAATAATTTATGATTACTAATCAATCATGATTCAAACTTCTAAAAACGAGTTGGGATCGTGACATAAATTCTTAAAAAAAATTAGAGAGAGAAGCCATCCTCGAGCACCACTCACGCGTGATTCAAACTCAAGGTAAATAAGACAAGCAATGCTCCAAACCGTTAATTGACACATTGTTGCTATTAATACAATGAGATATATGTTATTTAGAGTAAATTATAAATATACCTCTTAAAATCTGTGTAAAGTATAAATTGTATCTTATAATTTGAAAAATTATAAATACTTGCTTGCTAAAAATTTTTATCTAACAAAATTAACTAAAAAAAAAATTATAATTACTCTCTTATACAATAATAAAATTTCTTAAATTATTAATTGAAATATATTTATAACATCATTAAAAATTGTTACTTAACTTGATGCTTTACTAATAAATAAACAATTTGTTATAAAATTAAAAATCTCAAGGATGGAATGTAATTTCCAAAACTATATGAGGTGATTTGTATTTTAATTAAATCTCAATTGATATATTGGTCATTTACCCTGTTATTTATCATTAACATACATTAATTACAAATTACTCCCTGCACCCACAACACACACACACACACACACACACAAACAAAAGCAAAAGCAAAAATAATAAAAAATTAAAAAATTAAAATAAATCATAAAATAACAAAATTTTAAATCTTCAATTAAAAATAAGTTAGATATTGGGGTGTGGTCTAATAGTCTAATAGCTACATCTTAGAGTGTAATGAGTAGGAGGTCAAGAGCTCGAGTTGATGGAACAATAGCGGCCCCTTAGCTATAATCTAATTATACTACCACACTAACGCTATCTTACGAGAAAAAAAAATAAAATTAATAACATAAGTGTATATTTTTGTAATTTTAATTAATATATTTTATTTTCTCATAATTATTATCATATTTTTTTTCTTTCAACTCGCTCAATGGTAATATTTTTGTGTAGTATTTGTAAACCGGTTCTTCCCAGTTGATGTTTGGACGGACTACAAAGATACGCTGTTGGGAAATGTTGGAAGCATTCAAAATGGTGATTTAACCCAATCTGGCACACTCGGGCCTGGCTTAGGCCAACCTATGTCAGGCCACTCGCTCGGGCTTCTGCCAAAGTTCAAGCCAAGTCATGGGCTAAAAAATTAGGCCCAATTTCGGGCTGAGGGGGTATTCGGGTCTGGATCTAGACCTTGAGTTTGGGCTTGGACTTAGACCAAGCCTGAATATTTTTTTTATTTTTTTACTAAAATTTTATTATTTTTTACTAAAAATGACATTGGATCATAGGCGGGGATGTGAGTGGGCCTTGAGCGGGGCACAAGTCAAGCTCCAAAATGACGACCTAAGCCCAAGCCCATGGTCCCGAGCTGGACTCGGACCTGGTCCTAACCGAGCCGAGCTGCGGTCGTGTTTCAAGCTGCCCATGAATCACTTTTACACCCCTAAATACATATATGAAGTTCAATATTAATACAACTTTCAACTTGTTTTTGTTTTTGTTTTTGTTTTTTCTTTTTTTTGTTTTTTTTTTTTTTATTTTTTATTTTCATATGGATTAATATTTAAAACATTAAACTTGAAATAAATTAATAATATATCTTATAAAATTTATATATTTTAAAATTATTTATGATTCAATTATGATTTCTCACTATATGGTATAGATTTTACTATTTCAAATCAATTTCAATGATTCATCATATGCATTATCAAATTTAAATTTAATCCATAATCAAATTTTAGATGTACCCCAAGGTAAAAAATTATAAAACAATTATACTGACCAATCAACTAGTGTTTTGATGAAACTACAAAATCATCGGTTAAAACACTTGATATCAAATTAGATTTTTATTTAAATTTTTACTCAAATTTAATATTAAAAAAAATTAACACACCGTTCGAGATGCCTAACAACATATTTGTATCTTCCCTCTCGTCATCATATCTAACAGAATTAAAGGATATCATGAAGCCCAAAAAATAAAATATATATATATATATATATATTGATCCGAAAAATTGCAAAAATAAAGCCAAAACAGCATCATAAGATGTAGAAAGCTAATGAAGCAAGCTGAGATTCAAGTCAGTCACCGTTATCGGAAAGCTATCGGCGATATTTAACAATTAAAAGAAAGATCAAGAACAGTGCTAGTTTTTTTTATTAATTAATTTCTAACAAATGTCTAAATACTAAAATAAATATTAAAAAAAGTATAAAGCAGTTGAAAAGAATGTAGATAAACCATGAAACATCAGAAATGAAAATCTTTTCTCATACACAGCCATTGTCGGACTGTGTCAGAAGGTGTCCTAAGATTTTCTCATTTCATCATCTTGACCATGTATAAATCAATTTAATTCCTTATTACAACAAGTTCTACAAAATTAATAAGATCAAATCCGCAAACAAAATAAAAAGGCACAGCGAGAGAGAATTGATCAGAAAGAACGTAGCGAGGATAAAATCGATCATATGAAATTGATCATCACCATCCCATTCAAATTCATCATATTCATTCTCCCCTCTGTATGTATACACATGCACAGAGACAAATATACAAATATATATAATGCAAAACTTGAGAGAGAGCGACCCGAAAATATGAGCAACAAGGTAGTGTACCCTGTGAGAAGCTTAAACTACAGATCCAGATCGAGAGAGAGAGAGAGAGACCTAGACCCGACCCCGATTTGAGCGGTTTTTCCCCGAAAAATACCCCCGACGGGCCGGGGATGGTATTTAAAAATGAATCCCCGATGACTTTCGGGCCGGGGACGGGGATACGTTTCCCAGGCCCGTCCCCGGCCCCGATCCCCGCCCCGACCCCCCGCCCCGATTCTCCCCGAAATAAAATTACAATTTAGCCCCTGTATATATATATATAATATATGCGTGTCTCACACAGTCACTTTGCTCCTGTTGTGTTGGCAGAAAAATTGAGAGAGAGGGAGGGAGGCTGTTGGGCCAACGTGTAAGAACGTGGTGAGGAAAATGGAGAGAGGGAGGGAGGGTCCTCCGCCGCCCGAGGGAGGGAGAGAAAGCCGATCCTCCGCCGTCGCCTCCTCCTCGTTCTCCTCTTTTGATCGTCTTCCTCCGTCGTCGCACTCACAGCCACCCATCGCCTGCGAATCTCCGATCTCCTCCGTCGTCCATCGCCACTGTCGGCGACGCCGACCGTCCTCCTTCGTCCACCATCGCCTCCTCCGCTGTCCATTTCCGTCGATAGTCCACACACACTCTCTCTCTCTCTCTCTGTGACACAGATCTCAGATCTGTTTGTATTTTTTTTTTTTTTTTATGATCTGTTGATGAATCTGGGGATGTTGTTGATAGAGGATGATGATGAATGATGTTGTTGTTGATTGTGTTGCTGTTGAAACAGATGGAGGGCGGGGAATCTTCGGGGTCGGGGAAACTCAATCCCCGTTGGGGGCGGGGATAGGGATGGTGGTAGGTTCCCCGTCGGGGATCGGGGCCGGGGCCGGGGAGATTTTCCAAATCGGGGATCGGGGACGGGGAGTGCGATCCCCGGTCCCGCCCCGCCCTGTTGCCATTCCTAAGCAAGGTGATTAGTTTTCACTCATTATGATATTAGTTATAATATTATTTTAGTTATGATTCAAATTTTTTTTGATTATATCTCTTGTGATACTGGGTTATAACACATCTTTTTTTTTTTAATTGTAACTCTCATAAGATTGATTAATGATATTTATAGTAATTAATCCCATAAATATTATAACTTACATATGATGGTATGTACCGTAACATTATATGGTCCTTTTCGCATTTTGATTTCTAAAGTAACTATTATCTCACTTTGGCCATAGTTATTTGTATAATTGAAGGCTGTAATTGGATAAATGGTGAGGTAAGTTCAAAAAAATCATGTTTGTTTTATGAAATTGTTATGGGATTAAGAGTACTATGAGACTATAAAACTCTTTCAATGGGGAAATTCTACCATACATGAAAGTGGTTTTCATGTATGTTAAATAAAAAAATATGGATCATTAGATTTAGATAGAATAAATGCTAGCTATTGGATGAGAGTAGATAGTAAAACTATGTAGAAAAAGTAAGATGGTTTTGCAAAAAATAGAGTAGTTTTACTTAATTTTGAAATAAAAAACAATGATGCTAACTTACCATTTGTGTAGCTTGCTTTTCGTTGTTTTTCGGAGGGGTTTAGTCTCCTCAGATACGATAGCCCTACAATTCGGACTCTCGTTGTTCTAAATCTGATTTCACAAGTGCAATGTGAAATAAATTAACACAAATGAGTCTAAATCCGACAAATCCTTTGGAAGATCGATTTTCAATCAAAAATGTCAAATATTGACTGCTTTGTCAGATTTTAAAGTCGCCACTTAAATATTTTTGAAAAATTTAGAAAACCTGTGAATCGTGCTGAGCACCACTTGTCCGTCATCACCAAAGTATCTCAGTTTGGAAACTTAGATATAAGAGGAGAAGGTCATAAATCGAGTACCCCACTCACCCGATTAAAAATCGGCCTCTATTAATCATGATGTGATTCTTAGATACAATATATGCTCTTGTTCCAATTTATTAAGCTATTTTTACTATGTGATGCACATAAGTATAGAGTAATTTGCAAAATTTGGAACGCTTTGATTTCATGCTCTGAAAAAGTGTTTTGAATATGTACTACTTGAAAAAGTGAGCTCATATGTACATTTAATCAAATCATCCCAATTTGAGCAATTAGCCTTCATCCACAAGCATTCAAGAGATATGTCAATTAAGCACTTAGCCTCATGGTAAATATGCTTGATATGGCAATACTAATATACATGCAATATGCGAAAGCAAGAAATGCTCACCTAGCACTCAACCGAGGCAAGCCAAAAGAAATAAAATCATTAGAAAAAGGCATACTCTACTATGAAAGTGACTAATGCAACACATACAAAGTGTAACTATTTGGTTCGGTTTATATTATGTCATGTGAATCAACTTAAAACATGCGATAACAAAGTGTAACTATTTGGTTCGGTTTATATTATGTCATGTGAATCAACTTAAAACATGCGATAGCACAAGTATTCAAGTAAGTAAGAAATGAAAATATTTGTTAGAGTGATGAACTGAACCCGATGCATGCAAAAATGGATATTTATACATGGTAATGATATGAAACCAAAAACATGATACTACATAGAACCATCATAAGTGAGTAAATAAAAAGGAGAAAGAAATGGGGGTTGAAAGACATACGCAATATGTACAAGTGTTACAAATTGGCCCTCGCACAAGAGGGTTCAAATGAATGTCCTAATTAACTAAATATTACAACACCAAATTAATTAACTAAGTTAACTAGTTATTACAAATTCAAAGGAATTTAACTAATTAATTACAACACTCTAATTAATCTAAGCTATTTAAGCTAGTTAAATCAAACGGTAGTCGGGGAACCCCACATGCAACCGAGAACATCCACCTCGAAATGCCTCTGTTTTGTTGCTTGATTATGTTCTGTCTGCAGTCACCAAATAATATTGTTTTTGTCATAGTTTCTCCTCTGTTCTGCCATGAACATGGCACTGCTTGCTCAACAAAAGGTGGCCGGCCGGTCTTAGATAGTGGTCGGTCGGATGGTAGGGTGGCCGACCGGCCACTGATTTTTGGTACTACCTTGCTGCAACAGAATGGAAACAGAGCAAAAACAGAGTGTTTCCAATGAGGTTTATCCTCTTTGCCTCTCCCTATCATGAAATTGATCAAGGGAGTAGTAGAATCGGTTCACAAATTATCAATAGTCACAAGGTTATTGCATGATGATCTATGAACTGATAGGACAAAGGCTCAATGGATGAAAATAAAATACCAACAAAACCTCCTCCCTATCATGGAAGTTACCTCAAGAGAAGTGATAGACATTGATTCTTGAACCATTTTCATCACTAAAGAGTATGAAATGACTCAAGACTCAATGTGTTCAATATAACATTCGATTGAGCCCAACTCAATTTTATTATCTTGTGCCTCTTTTTGTCCAATTTTATTAGTCCTTTTCATTACCTTTCCATTCTTTAGTCATTTTGTCCAAAAGTGATAGTTATGTCCACTAATAAAGGGAAGTGTCAAACAAGAAGTTGTTCTTGATATGAGAGAGATTAAATCATTAAGCATGGAAGGGTTTCTTTCTCATACTTTAAACAACCGTCAATTGTTTGAACCAATTCTAAACAAACAAAGAGAAAACCAAGAAATGAGGGAGGTTGCAGAGATAGTTATTGCAAGCGTGAGTACATGTATGAAAAGTATGAAATAAAAGCTATTAACTCAAATAGGTTGGTGTCCAAGGCTTAAACCATCAAACCTATGAGGACTTACAACAACACAAGTCTAATATTCAAAGCATGAATGAAGTAAACACACTAAAACAATCTTAAAAATAGCAAAACAATGCTGGAATTACATTACAAAAGCTAAAAAAAGGTAAGCAAAAAGGGAGAGAATTGAAACTAGTAAGTAAGACTAAGGAGGGGTAGCTAACCCCCTTCACTTTTTGGACCTTAAAACTACATATTTTAGCCTTTGAAATATTTGAAAAATAGTGGCTAGAAGTTGGAAAATAAGTGGGAAAGACAAGGATAAAAGCTTGGGAAACAAGGTTCAAGGAATGGTGATTAACCCCTCCACCTTTGGTAGTTTTTAATCACAAGTTTGAGCCCACAAAAACAGTGTAAAAATAGTATACAAAACCAAGAAAAAGATGGGGAAAAAAGTAGACAAAGGATGGCAAGAGTTATACCTTTGAAAATGAGTTACACTTTTGTTCATAAGCCACAAGGTTCTTACTCTCAAGGGCAGATATTTTAGCTCAAGAATCTCAGCAATGAGCCCTAAAATATTGGTCTAGGAAGTATATGTAAGGTGTATGTATATTGTAAGATAGAGAGAGTGTGTGTGTGTGTTTTGCAAGATTTTGAACTTTAGTAAAATTTTCTAACCTAAAACCAAGAGGGAAGGTTCCCTATATATAGAAAAACAAGTTGCTATCTCGGAAATATCTATATTGAGCCAGTTGGTGTAGTGCATGCACATAGGGGGGACAGTTGGCAGCAAATATCTGCTTTGCTGGGAAACCTGGCCGGCCGGGGACGGTCGGCCACCAATATTTGGCCAGCAGGCCTCTGGGTGGTCAGGTTTTTTTTTTTTTTTTTTTTTTTTTTTTTAAAAAAAAAAAAAAAAAAAAAGCTCAAAGGAGGTGTAAGGTTCTAGGCTTCTGAAACTCAACACCGAGGTTCCTCACTGAAGAAATCGAACATTTCTACAACGTATCTTTTTCTCATTGAGTGATCAACCTAAGGCTCCCAAGTCTTAAGGGCGATCAAAAATGGAATGTCTACAATTTGCTACATACATGCTTACTATTTGCTATTCACCCATTTACTATTTGTTATGAATAAGCTTACTATTTAAAATATTATTTGCTAAACACCTTTATTTTTTGAAAATTATGCGCTCTTTTGCATTTTAAATTAA